TAACACACTCTTCCAAATAATCCAAAATATTTATTTATTTTGATCAAAAAAGATTTTTCTAACCTTAAAATTTTAAAATTAGATGATTTTTTTTGTTATAATGTATTAACCTACCTTTGATATTCTATTCTTATTCCATAATAGAGAAGCTAGATTTTTTTAATTAATGCCGTTTAGTTAAAACTATTTTATGGATAAAACCAGATATAATATAGGTATTAACATATTATGTAGACCAAATGCACATAAATTTTACTTATTTGGCACTATACAGTTTAGAATTTCATTAAATGCAGTATTTATACTCCTAAACTCTTAAACCAACCATTGTTACTGTGATACTATAAAGATTTATAAACTTTTAACGCTTAAACATAAACATAAATATTATTTCTTTCATTGACTATACTTTGACAGACACATAACCTGAAAAGCCTTAAATGACAAGTTTTCAAAAGACTGCGTTCCGTACCTGGTCACGTGGTGGGACTTTGAAGTGTGGAGCATAGTACGCGTACGTGACCACAACAATAGCAGAGACAATAGTGTGTTTTTGGGACTTTTGTGATCCTTTTTCTATGTTTTGTGTGCTAAAGACATGGATGTTTTATTAAAGGAGTGGAATTTCGAATCATTAATTCCAATATTTGAAGGTAATGCTGGATTTATGCAGCACAAATTAACATTAAGATTAAGATTAACATTAACATTAAAAAGTTAAATGAACGAAATCCATTGGAAGCTTTTATGCAACACATTAACATTAACTTTATAATTAAGTTAACATTAAGAGATGGCCAACTTTTATCTTCTTAATGATAATGTTAATTTTTATTCCTCCTGCGCAGGTTTGCGGCGCAATTTTTAAATAAACCGTGTCAGTAATGCCAACATACCCGAAAATAAAATGAGACTTACTGCTGAATGATTTATTTTTTATTCAATGATTGTGTTCTTTGGTTTATTGTTTGACGTGGAGTTTATAGTTTTCATTTATTTTACTTAACAGATGCTAAAACGGGATTAAAACAAAATTCAAACAAACCAAAAATGTCAGATGTCAAAATTACTTTAACTTATACGCATGCTTAATTTGCTACTAATTTTGCTGCATAAATACCCTCCTATTAATGTTAAATTAATCTTAATCTTAATGTTAATGTTAAAGTTAATCTTAATGTTAATTTGTGCTGCATAAATCCACCATAAGTTTAATTTCTCATACTTAATTATAATAATACGGGCAACGGGAATAAACATGGAAAAATACCGAGAAAAATTCAAAAAATTATTAAGCCCTATTTGTATGGGTAGCTATTTGGGTATTTTGAGTAAAAACAAACCGTTATTTAATATAATAGGTTTGTTCTAACATCAAATTTCTGTTGGTTTGAGGCTGGTATACGGTAAAGCAGTGCTGCCAACTCTCTAAAATATTTATCCCTAAAGCTAAGTCAAAACCCCCTAAAATCGCCACAATTACTTGAAAATCTCCCTAAACAATTAATATTATTTAAAAAATAATAATAAAAAATAATTAATAATAAAGTACTAAATAATATTCTGTACTTTAATAATTAATTATTAATAATCTTTAATATTCTTTATTCATAAATTGTTTATTACCTACATCAAATATAATTTCGTCTTCTGATTCTGATTTTTTAAATTGTACATGTTTACATTACATACACCTAACATTTTTTGCAAGATACGCCATTTCGTTGCAATGTGAATCTTACCATAATACACAGAGTAGACCATAATACTTCGTAACATTTCAATAGATTGGGTATTTCGCACATTCTTGACAAGATTATATAAGGAGAATGCGCCTTCGCCACTTGCGTTTGAAATAGGTTTGACAAAATTATGTTATCCCAGGTTCTATATTTTTAGACTTATATTTCTTTTATTTAAAAAAATAAATATCAATAGTAAAAAATCCCTAAAAATATAAAGCCCCTAAAAAAATCCCATCCCACTCATTTACCCCCTAAAGTTGGCAGCACTGCGCCAAAGAAGCATCGGGTTTTCGCAACGCGTGCGCCATCTGGTGTCAACATTATTGAAGTAATAGGTTTGTCAACAATAAATTAAAATACAAATTGCACATTATTTTTAAATAAATAAGTAGTTTTTTCACAAAGAAGAGGAAAGTAGAAGTTTTACTCAAATATTTTGTTCGCCAAGTTTGAATTGCACAGGTTAAGAGAGTACATTAATTGTCTTTTTGTGTTGCAGCCTGCAACTTGCAGGTAAAAATTGAAAAATCACTTGGTTTAGTACTTGATTTCGATTTATTAATTTGTATATGCTTAGTTACGTTATTGTGTGTATTGTGGTCATTGTGAATTATTGTGTTTTTAATTGTAAAGGTAATTAAAGAACTAATTCGAAGTTGCATTTTTATGTTTTGCCAAAGGATCAAATTCAGTACGTATACCTATTTGGTTGTGCAGAATCAACTAATGATAGCTTTATCTAATATAATTTATATTTAAGTTTGGAAGTTTTTAAGAAATTACCACAAAACCTCGCACAAAACAATAACTATAAAAACATAACCTCAATCTTAAACATTTTTATATTTGAGTCCTCTAAAAATAACGCCGACAACTGCATTTAAACAATAATATATCTACGAATTCATGGCAACATAATATTATATAAAATTCATATTATACCCGTTATCGGTACTTTATTGTGCAACAAATCAATAGACGTTTATTTTCTCGATATTTTCCGCACTCATTTTAAAAAACACTCATTTAAAATATATGCTTTTGACAGTTGCTTAATAAAACTGAAGTTAAGTTACGATGATGATGGCCACAAGGTGGCGATACTAGCGATACTTCTTTAGCGTATAGTGGTCCAGTGGACCAGGTCCACATTTAGTCCAGTCACGTTGGTATTTTCCTGCCCAGTGAGCGGTACCAGGCTGAAAACTCGTATACACCTTTATTTTGTCGTTGTCTCAAAAATCAGTAAAACTATAGTTTTACCTATAGGTATGTCGCTTCGTTAGTTATTGCAGGTCAAAGGTCATAAAAATACGTTTTTCACGTTTATCTCGGTTCCTATGGCTTTAATGATGTCAATACCTATTACAAAAGTTGGAGATAATAAAATTCCTAACCACTTTTGTCTGAAACTTTTTTTCATAAAATGAACCGTTTTTGAGATAGAGCGCAAGGGGCGGGAAGCGCTATTGGTCGAAAAAATGGACATTGACCAATTTAATGTGCCCGCCCAATGGTGAATTTTTGCATACACGTTGTTGTTATGACTATAAATAATTGGTGAAAGTTTCCCATCGATTCGGCGATTGTGTGGGCCGTTACGGAGAGTCAAAGTTCGACCACCCCTTCACCAATATCTCGAAAACGGTCAACTTTTTGACAAATTGGTTTTTAGAAAAGTTTTTCGTCATTTAATTTCCTACAAATTTGGTCTTAGGTAAATTTCTCTACAATGAACCGTTATTGAGATATGGCGCAAATATTGAATAAAAAAAGGGGTAATTCTTGGAAATATTATTTAGGATAATTTAATTATTGTAAAATAAGGTACACCTATGTTTATTTTTAGAAAATGAAATTGACTTGGACAATGTTATGCTTTTGACAGATGATCAAAGACTGCGTTCCGTACGTAGTCACGTAGTGGGACATTGAGGTGTGGAGCATAGAACCTTGGAATGACAAGGTTCTAAGTGCAGCGTCACTGTTAAATTAAAATGATCTATAGATTATTATTATTTTTATCTATAGATATCTATTGTATACAAATTGTATAATACAAAACTAAATATTGCAGATAAGGCGTTTTCGCTTAACAGGGCACCTGCACTTAGAACCTTGTCATTCCAAGGTAGGTAGCGTAATATCTAACCGTTTTATTTTTTTAATTTGTTATTTTTACTAAAAATAAATATATGTATCTATTTCTAGATGTTTTGTTTTTTTGTAAATACCTATCTTATTTCACATATCAAGTTTAAATACTGATTAAAACGACATTAGTGCAATTAGCTTCAATCATTTATTATATTTGAAGCAAAAATGAATTTATTTAAAACAAATTTTACCTACTTAAAGCAAGAAAAACCCTAAATTTAAATCAAATTAAATGTAAACTATTTTCAATAAAAGTATTCTTTATATTGAAGCTACAATATTTTTAAAACAAAATTAAAAAATACTTCAGATTAGTATTAGTAGTTATTAGAACAATCGGGGGTTATATTTGAAATAAGTATAAGAAATATTTGGAAATAAATTGTAGTTTTTTAAATAAGAATAGCTTAATCTTAAAACAATGTTAAGGCTATTGTCAAATTCAACACTAGCGTATTCTGAATATAAGTAAAATTTTTAAGAATAGGGCTATATTTGAATCAAATATTATGAGTTCTTGTGGAATAGTGAAACGAGTATATTCTTGATCAAACGCTACTATTCTTTAATATAGTGCAGATTTTTTTCCGTGTAGAATTTATTAATAATTTAGACCAATAGGGTAAAGTTTTTACCTCCTAAAGTCTGTACAGAATTTGCTCGGACCTATATAAAAATTGTACTAATGTACTTTTAATAATTATTATTATAATAACAATTATTGTATGTTTTATGTATCGTTTAACAAATAAAATTGTGCCCTGAAGATTAAACATTGTATGCCGTTCGGCCGAGAAGTCTCTTTTGGTACTTCGATCAATTGTAGGAATATGTTTCGGGTCGGCATTCAATCTTTAAGCTCGGCACAAAAATATTACTTCTCAGCCTTATGACATAATAATAACTTTTGTTTCTAGAATATTATTTAATTCATTAATTATTTTTAGCGATTGTCGAATCCCCCTACTGGATATTGGATACGGATTATAAAAATTATGCTGTTGTATATTCTTGCAATGACTTTTTGATATATCACTTAGGTAAAAACTAGAATAAATATGTTATTATTTTAATATAATATGATTTTTATTATTTTAGATAATGCCTGGATTTTAACAAGATCTAATAATCCGACCGAAGCAATTTTACAAAAGGCTTACTCCGCACTGGAAAAAAATGGTATTAGCACGAAATATTTGATAAAAACTGATCAAACAAATTGTCCCTCAAATTAATTCAGCCAGTTTTTAAATTTATTTATTAGGTAAACACTGTTTTAGCATAATTTATAAAGAATGTGAAACTGTGAACCCAGGGAATAAGTAAAAATACCTACATGGTTAAATATATTTGACTTTAAGTCTAAATAATAATAATCAATTTTAACTATTATTATTTTGCAGAGAATAAAATAATTTAAAAACATTGAAATTGTTTTTTCTTTAGACCCAAAGGTACCTACTTGTTTAATGACAGACAAGTAGTCAGTCATAGAAACAGAAATGTTAGAAATTAAGGTATATACAAGGTGTCCCTAAACTTAGTGGCATAAATTTAGGAGCAGATTAAGCAAGTCAAAATAAGACGAAAATCTAAATAAATATTTTTCCTAATTACGTATGTTTAAAAGATACAGGATGATAAAATGTTACTTATCATATCAGTTTTTTTAATATAACTTCTACTATGGTAGACTTGGAACGGTGATATTTTGCGAACAGTCACTTACTATCAAAACACATATTCACACTTAATTTCAATTGTTCGAGTGAACACAGTGTCGTAGAAACAGGGGTTGCTAAAGCTTATTGCTAAAGCTTATTGTCCCATTTATATCATTTGATGCAATTTTTCGATTACTTAGTTCGGCTACTATTAAAAAGGTGTATCTTCCAAACTTCGATAAAATAAACCGTTTCCGATATATTCGAGATTTCAATAATTGTTATGGGTCAAAATTTATTAACGGGCCAATTCCGAAAAATAAAAGTTAAAAAATAAATGTAGGTGTATTTTAAAAAACCCCAATTTTTTTTGTCGGTACAGGTTTCTTCTACCAAATTTTGTATGTGTCCGCACTGGATATGTAGGTTTCTGAATTTCCGGCATCTTCTTTAAGCAACCTTTTTTAAGATTATTTGTAAAACGTAATAACGAAATAAAAAAATATTTATATTTATATTTATTATGATGTAAATAAATAAATAAGTAAATAAAATACTTTTATATTTAGCAATTAATAAGAAATTTGAAGAATATTAAAAATAGGCCATGTGACCGTTGTTACGACACAAAAACATACGCATGAACTAATTTGAGGAAAAATTAAGTAAATTTAATGCAAAATCACTAGCAGCAAAGTTTTCGTAACACAAAATTTAACGAAGACTGATATTAGCGCCTCTGGCGGCAAAAATGTGAGCGTATATGGAGTGCTACCGGCGCACACTGGGGTATTTGGACACCATGAAGGGACAAAATTTATTTTCAAAATAGGTTGAGAGTTTTAAGTCGGAATAGGCTTTAATATCCTGGAAATATGTTGACAATAGATATTACCTTAAAATTATGGAATATATACAGGGCGTTTCATTTTCAAAATAGGTTGAGAGCTTTAAGTCGGAATTCCGACTATTAATAGGCTTTAATATCCTGGAAATATGTTGACAATAATTATTAACTTAAAATTATGGAAATATATACAGGGTGTTTCATTTTTTCAGGTTCATAAAAATTTTTACTACTTATCCAGTATAGCTTCAAGAAAAATAACAAAACATACCAAGTAGGTAGTTAAACCTTTTTTTGCAGTATTATTTTATAATAATGTTGAAATTTTGCACACTTGACAATACTGAATTGCATATTTTATTTACTAAAACGGTGAAAATTAAATAAATAATTGCGGGAAAAAATACAGAAATCAATTTTTTTTTTTAATCCATTGTTTTATTTTGACAGAGTTGATAAAGCTAAGATTATTAGTTAATCGATCTTACTCTTTGGGTTATCAAAACTGACATTTTGTTCCGCCATATTGAATTTTTTGAATTTGTGAAAAATAATTCTTTAAGTTTACAAACCTACCTAATAGATTTTTATTGACATGGGGATAACAGTTTATGAATTATAGCCAATCAAAAATTAAAGTGGCCGCCATTTTGATCTGCCATGTTGGGGTTTTTAAAAAAACTAATCAAGTCTTTCTGTTGTTGTACGTAAGTCGCCTGCCAAATTTCATCAAAATTGAATCAATACTTTTTGAATTATGCTGACCAAAATAATTTAATACATTGGTATTGTGCAAAAATGACGTGTTAACTGCATTTAACATTATATTCAGGGATTTACGGAATAGCAAATATTAGCAATTTTTTTTTACGGTTTCATAATAAACGATGATTGGACATTATTCTGTGATGAACTATTCATTTCGGAAACGCCCGGAACACAACAATAACCTCTGCCAAAATAAGCAAAAATTAAAAGAAAACTTCTAATTTGCGATACTGACAAACAACGTCTATATAAAATCAATAGACATATTAAATTAGTATGTGCCATTACGGTAAGAATCTAATGGCTTACCTAAATATATTTTTGCCCAAAAACAGGAAAAGCTCACTCTTCGCTTTTCCTGAAATGGCTGTGAAATTTTGAAAATAAATTTAGAGTAACTACACGGAAAAAATTCTATACTGATTCCAAGAAAATTCAACTCTATCCAAGTATAGCTTAGTTTCCCTATTCCGCAAGTAAATTTATACTTGTTTCAAGTATCCTCATATTCTTATAAAATAAAGATAGCTTCGGTTTAATCTAAGATTACTGCTATACTAAAAATAAGAAACACACTAATTTTGAGTTAAGTATACAAATTTGTCTTCAATGAAGAGTACGGTATTCTTGTTGTAACGTTAGTATGTACTTCATCAAAGTATAGTTTCTTTGTAAAATCTTTACAGTATTCTTGATTTAAGAATATACTTTCTTTAAAATTTATTTATTTATACTTATTGTAAGTACACGCTTTACTTGCATAAAATGCTTGTATTCTTACTTTTCCTTTTTTTATATTTGATAAAAGTATAGTATATATTTAAAATAACTTTACACTATTCTTAAAGAAAGTGGTTGATTAGAAAAAAAAATTCCCTCGTCTAGCGACTCGGAATAATTTTTACAAAAAAAACATTCGTGACCCTGAAAAATATTTGTATTAATTATTCTACTACTACGGAAAATACAAGTGAAAGTGAAAATATAATCGTTATGACAGTAATTTAACAGTATTTTTGGCATATTATTTTAATTATTTTAATGTACTAAAGTACTAAGTATAATAGGCACTGATATCACAATAGGTTTATTACCTAACAGTCTTAGAGGTATTAGAAAAAGTACTGTCAATTTATATAAATTCATTCTTTCACGGTTAATTAACATAGATACTATATTTTACATTTTATTTTTTTAAGTACCTAGGTATCACATTTTTGGTGCTATATGTAAAGGTAAGGTTTTTTAATCACAATAGTTAATATTTTTTTAAGTAGGTATTTTTATTGTCAGTAAAATTTATCTCCAGCTAAATAATATGTAAAATGAGTCTCTAAGAAGGCTACCATTATCATCGTAGATGGTTTGGTGTTAATTCTTCAATTTTTTCTCTACACTTGATCCTCAATCCTATTTTTGGAATTAATTCCTTTAAATTCTCCTCGCTTAGGTTTACCATAATATCGATATCTATCTCGTTTTCTAAAACAAAAATAATATAGCTGAATTGGAGGCTATAGCCTTTCTGCTGTTTATGTTTTATTGTCTATTACCTGTCGTATGCTATCCATTTTACACTACAGTATACCTATCCATTTTACACTACATTTTTACGATCATGCCTAGTTAATTACTTTAAATTAATGAAATATTATTTACTTACCCAAAAATGTGTCTAGTAAACATTCTAAGCCCCAATTTTTAAGTTTCTTCTCCATTATTTTTTATTAAAAATAACATCCAGACCGAAGAAGGAAAAAACGAACTGCCGGTGCCGACACGTGCACACCATAGAACACAGGACAGAACTGAACACAGAAACTGCGTCTTTTCTTTTAGCGAAGCGGTCTTAGAGGGTGGACGGTATTTACTTAAGCGAAGAATAAGGTATTTGTTTTAATAATAGCTATACTTAAATACAGTATAGTGTATTCTTTGTTCTAGTCTTATACTTAAATTGAAGTATAAGCGTTCTTGTATTAAATATACATATATTTAAATAAAGTATACCGAAATTTCATACAAATATACAGAATACTTAAATCAAGTGGCAATATTCCGCTTTGAGTAAACAACTAGAGGTCTTTCATCTAAGTATTATTGTATATTTGATTTAAGTATACCAATTTTCTTTAAAATAAAATACCTTTAAACTCAATCCAAGAATACTCATCTCAAATCAAGTAACAGTTTTTCTTAAAAATTAAGTATATCCCATTACTTTGTTTAAATGTACGCTAATCTCATAGAAATAATAAATATACTTAAATCAAGTTCCTAACATGAAGTATAGAACTATTCTTAAACCTAGTAAGGGATTTTTTTCCGTGTATGACAGCAAAGCGTTCAATCAACACTGATATCTTTGGCATGCTGTCACCGCCCGTTTTAAGTGATAGCCTACTAGTTTTGCTTGCGCTAGTTTAAGCAATGTCTTTAGTTTATTTTTGCATTAGATTTCTAACATAATTAACAATGTATGTTTTTTCCTTTTTGTCCCTTCGATAGGCATCCATACTCCAGTGTGCGGCGTTACGCACAATCTGGGGGACACAGCTTTAACGCACTACCGAAACTTTGATATTGTAAAGAGGAGTATAAGAAAAATTGATTAAAAAATTACGTAACTGTTTCTATATCGTAAATTATTTAAATATTTATTTTCAACTTTGGACAGTAAAATGCAACAGATTTAACATAATAAACAGACGACAGGGACATGTGACCGGCGTTACATTTTGTCATTTTAAACTTCGTTACTTTTTCTTTTTTTATACAAAAGCTATCGTACTTTGTTTTTTACTGGAAAATATGTGCCTTTACACAGGAATGGTATGTGTAACCAGGTAATGCTTGAAGAAAAATTTTTTTTTGCCAGGGACTGAAATTGGCCTGTAAATAAATTTTGACCCTTATATCGCATTAAAGGACTAAAAGGTATATGATAACAAATTTTTAATTGAAAAAACTACAATTTTTTTAACGTGACGGTCAGGGCAAAAACTCCCGAGGCTCATAGAATTCCCTTTTTAGTTTTTTCAATTAAAAAATAAAATTTGTTATCATATACCTTTTAATCCTTTTAAATAATCCGATACAACAATTATTGTAATCTTGAATATCTCGGAAACGGTTTATTTTATCGAAGTTT